GAGAGAGAGAGAGGGGGGGGCAAAAAGTGAAAGAGTATGCATGCGAAAGGATTTCGTTCTCGTAGATCAAGTATCATCGTAATCGCCCCGGCGAGATATTCTTTATTTGAATTGCGCCGTAATTAGATTTATCGGTATTCGCGACGTACTTCTTCATTATTGCTGTTGATTAATCCCGTAACGACGAAATGCTACGCTTTTTTAACGAAACACACGATTCGATAGTGTATAACGTTATAAAGCAGTTTCTAGTTTTTCTTTTTTTTTTTTTCATTTTATTTTCAATTCTACAGCGGATCGATACACGGTTTATATGAAGAGAATTTCGTACTATGAACAAGACGCGTTCAAATTGTTCAATAAACAATTGTTTTACAACATCGACACGTATTGTTTCAATATTTTCTCCTTTTTTAACAAAAAATTTATTCTAACATTATTAATTAACGTATTATTCATCCTAGTTTCACGTCTATAACAAAATATTTAGTTCCGTTAAAAAATTATCCAAGAAATCTTCAATACTTAAGGAAAGTATAATCGATAAACAAAATGAAGTAAAGAACGGAAGATTAATATAGATGAAAAGTCAGCTGTAAACAAGACAATCTTGTTTACAGCTGTAAGCGAAAAATGTGTGTTAAAAATATCCTTATCAACATTTAATCTCGTTAAATTATTATCGTGTCGTACACTCTTTCAACTCAATGTCATGCTTAACAGGAATATACCTCTCAGACATCTCAAGCTCAAGTTTTATTTCCCGTTAATTAGAAGTAATCCCTCTAGGACACAGGCCACTATAAACGGCAGTCAATCACGTAATCGGCCTACGTCTTTTTTTGGCGTCGCTTAATCCGCGGAAATTGGACGTGGAAATTGCAGCTCTACCGCGAAATTAGGAGACACATGTCAGCCAGATAGGCACAGCGGCAGATTAATTGTCGTCTTTCACTAATATGGAGATCAATTTGGTATCGTCAATGACACTCGACCGCAAATATAATAATTCTAATTAAAAAATAATTAAATTTTACATTCCTCCCACGTATTTTCCAATATATATCATATCAAATAATTATCAGGAAATTAAAACAAAAATTTTAAAGGAAAGAAGAGAAGGATCTCTCTCT